GGCCTGCACCAGCTGGGCCGAAGGAAGAGGAGAACTACTAAGAAAGACAGAGAACCGGTCATTTAAGGCCATGATGAATAGTCCAAAAGATATAGCAAGGATTACAAAATGGATCCAGCAGGAAGGATGGCTAGAACAGTTTCGACTGACTGCTGAAGTCGAGGCTACGATGAGGGAGAGAGAAGAGGAAAGAAGGTTGATAGACTTCTTCCAGTAGCAAGGAAGGGAATGATATCCACACTGGACATGACAGTGATAGTGCACTTCCTAAAGGTAACACAACTTTATAGTGTAAATAAATTGAAAAGTTGAGGGGGTTTTCACTTTAAAGGTTCCCTCCTAAATAATTATTAGAGTTCGTAGACACCTGCATGGGCCCATTGGCGCCAAATCGGGCTAAATAAATTCAAATTCAAAATAATAGACCGTGCGGGATCTCCCATTAACAGCAGTAAACAACGCTAGCACATTGGAGGGCAAGACAGAACACCTGTACGCGGTGTCCTCTACGAACCTGGGAGTGAAATATTCTCCAAGAGCCAAGTTCAGTCAAATTTCGCAATATCAAAGAAGTTGGCCCACGACGCAAATTTTAAAATTACTCCACCACGTCGTTTTTCCGCTCCCAACGAGTTTGACGCCTACCTAAGTCTCATCAAGTCTACAAGTACGACCAAGTACATCCTCATCCCAGTGACCACACCCCTCTTTGATCTTCTCTGGCCTCAGTTGACCAGCAAATACACGCCCACGCAGATATTTATACACGACGGAGGAAGCAAAGCATGGCGCACAAATCTGGGAGGCAGTTCTTTGGGATGCACGTGAGAGGTATCAAGACAAGTTTACAAGATGATGCAAAGGAAGGACATAACCTTGAAGGGAGTGAAATTCCGAATTTTGGCAAGCAGTTTTACGAATTGAGCTTTGTGCGCGCCAAGACTTCGCTTGCGAGAGTGCAGCTGACACTATAAAAACGAGCCAACGATGGAAGGTGTTGTGGTCCGCCTCCTGGTGATGTTCTCTGGTATAGTTTGAGTAGCCTGGGCACCTACTCCACTTGGGAAGGAGACGCCTCAGACCATATTTCGCGCGGAGAAAGGTTGAAAGATGATGGAGGCATGTCTGAATAACTCAGGGTTTTTGAGACGTTCCCCTGGGTGGGTATTCGCGGATGAGGGTTGACTTGGGGTGAAGAAAAAGCCACCATAACTTCGCAGTGATGCTTGCAAATGAAATCCGAGGCATGAGTGCTCTTTCTTTACGTTGAATCATCTATTCTGTACTTTTCTTTGATATTGTGTCATAGCTAGATAGCCGCATACGCAATTAAAATCTGATGCAAAAAAAAACAAAAACGCTAGCACATTGGAGGGCAAGACTGAACACCTGTGCGCGGTGTCCTCTACGAACTTGGGAGTGAAATTATCCCAGAGCCAAGTACGACCTAGTACATTCTCATCCCAATGACCACATCTCTATTCGACTTTCTCTGGCCTCAACAGGTCACCAAATACACGCCCACGCCGTCATTTACATCCGTCGGGAGAAGCAAAGAGTAGCGCACAAATCTGGGAGACAGGTCTTTAGGATGGACGTGAGAGGGATGAAGACAAGTTCACACGATGGTGCAGAGAATCAACATAACCTTGGCCTGGAGTTTTAGAAATTTAGCTTTGTGCGTGCCAAGACTTCGGTTGCGAGAGTGCAGGCGACAATATAAACACCGCCATGGTTGGATGGTGCGGTGGTACATCGTCTTGGCCGGTCTGCCAAGTAGAGTCTGGATAGCTTGGACACATATTCCACTTGAGACAGTATATCGCTGGTTCAAATCCAGCAAAACACAACCACTTTTCTCGCGGCGCTGGTATGCATGGATGATGAAGGCATGCTTGGATAACCAAAGGTTTCGAAATTTCCTTTGGTGGGTACTTACGTAGGAGGGTCGACCGTTTTTGTAAGCGAACATACCTCATAGTGGTATGTGCAAATGAAATCCAGAGTATGAGTGTCTCTAGCGTCAAAAGAGTCATCCATCATGTAAACACAGCACCGGTCATGGGTCATAGCTAGATAGCTGAATACGCATTAAATGCTAAAAGAAAAAGACTAGACGAGGGCTTTTCCAAATGCCATTGCGGTATTTCTCTTATTCAGTGCCGTTATCAACAGCTTCATTTTCTTTTAATTTTCTGTGGTAGACTTCCAAGAGAGAGAATGAACTCGTGCCGAATTCGGACAGGTCTGTGATTTAAAAAATGCCATGTAGGCTGCCAACATTGGACTCGGAGGTTTGAGGCAACACCGCTGTTACAGGCTGTAGCCTTGTATGTGGATCCGGACCTATCCGGCTCCGGCCATGAACAAAAGCGCGCTAGTGTGACGGGAAAACGCGTTCGATTGGAACAAAACATCTTGCGCGCGCGTCCTATATGTTCGCCTCCGATAAAATCTAAATTCATTTTTGGACCCATAAGCGCTGACAGTTTACCAGTCATTGACCCCAATTCTACAAGACGAGCTGGGTGGGCACATTTTCTTGCCGTCGTCTCGGCCATGTGTAAAATTTCTACGTGACTGTGTATCCTGACGTGCACGTGTAGCACAACGTAGAGGGTTTCCGAACCGAACGTTGAATGTCAAACAGATTGTCCTAAATTTAAATGTAGTATCACGGTGCGTAGGTTGAGTAGCTTACAAGCGAGTGCACGAGGCTGATGCATCAAGGGTAATAATTTATTCATGCTAATGTTACAACTAGAGACTGTCGTGAATGCGCTTTTCACATTAGGAGTAAATCGTCATTCACGTAGTAGAGCATGCAGAGCCAGGGAAATGGAAACAGGTTAGTGATAAATTAGATACCACCAATCGCTACACTCACCCGTAAATCACTCCTAAAAGAGACTAGCTACGGCGCTATCTGGAGTTATGTGGGATTGGTTAATTATCATGTAGATAACCTGTAACATAACATAATAATAATAACACAACATATCAAGCTGCCCAAACGAGGGAGAGAAGACATTCGAGCCAATAACAGGAGATTGGATCTGGTAAACTGGGTGGAAATTTGTGGGGAAGACCTGTCACAAAAACAGCAGAAAGAGGCAGGAAAAGTTGCAGCATACCAAGAATGGGCTAAATCCTGGAAAATCAAAGGTGGCTCCATTTACCTCGACACAAAGCAATCGCCGACCCCGAAACCTGGAGAGCAGTTAAGTTCTATCGGAACTGAAAGTCGGATCGATGGAAGATAAGATTCCAGGAATCGCCATTCCTTCTCTACCGAAACCTGACAAGGGCCCAAAGTAGTCTAGCGATTCAAATACGAAGTGAGCACATGGGGCTCAACTCATTTTTATACAGAAGAAAAGTACCCGGAGTCTACAGTCCAAGCTGTCCATGTAGCTACCAATCGCAGAACCCCGAGCACATGATTATGTCCTGCCCTCGATGGTCAAATGGAAGAGGAGAGATCTGGAGACAAGCGAAAGATCGGTCCTACGAAGCTATGTTAAGCAATCCTGGAGATATCAAAAGGATAACACAGTGGATCCTAAATCATGGTTGGATAGAGCAATTCCAGATGACAAAGGCGGTCGAAATGCTGCTGAGGGAAAGGAACAGGTCATGCCTTTCTTGAGGTCGATAAAGCTGATGTGATTGGGTTACATGGAGGGCACTATATTGTAAATGCGCTTCCTAAAGGATACTTTATGAAAAAACATAGAAATTAAGCAGGAAGGTTTGGGGTTTTTTCACCAAAAGGCTTCCTCCCATGTAATTTAGAAAGTATGATAGGCATCTGCATGGGCCCATAGGGCGCCACATCAGGATAATGAATTCAAATTCAAATTCAAAATAATAACACAATAAGATACTATTCGCATCCCGTAACATTTATTGCCATAATCACCCAAGTATATTCTAAGCCCCCTGAGTATTCACAACCATTTAATTGAAGATACCAAGTGTACACAACCATATACATCACCACCCTTCAATAGAGACTAGACGGATGGCCAATTTCCTACGCACAACTCCCTTACCGTTCATTCCTTCTATTGCCCATGATAATGTCACAGCTAATTTTAGAACCATATATTGAACGGAGATTTGAGCAGTTCGTATGGACAATCTAAAAGTCAGTCTATTTTTGGAATTAGTAGAATACTCGAGATGTATATAGTGCCCAGATAGATTTCTCATGGTGGAGGACAAACAATTCAATCAACTCTGTGAGAGATTCACACTTGTATAACTTTGTCTAACACAGAAGAAGTGGGCATTTTACATGGGCCTCAAGCTAAATTATTGCATCCTGCAGAACCAGCTGTAGTAAAGTGTGTGTGTGTGTGGGGGTATATTACGTTGTTTGGGTCTATGACTATCTTACAGCTGTAGTAGAGCTACGAGTCAAATTATGATTGATCAGAACTCACATAACCAAGTTTTTTATCTCCTTGGTTCCTCTAACCAGTCATCCAGGCGCCCCGCAGCCCCACGGTAGAAACATGCCGACTCGACAGCAGTAATGACATTGAGATTTTTAAATAATGATAGAGTTTCAGCTCATTAAGGCATCGGTAAAGGACAGTAAACTATATCTCACAATCAAAATTATAATGCTTTCAGTTATTTACCCACAATTGTAATTGTGTCCAACTCGCTTCATTTCGCTATGGCTAAGCAAACTATCATCCCCAACAGAGTTAATAACCCTATGAATTGATCTCCCACATATTAAATGTCCCTTCAACTTTAATTTTTATAAAAGACTTGCGGTATTGATCAAGAGTCTCTAAGACATGAATACTGCCGGATAGCCTTTCTTCTGGCTCCACATCCAAATCAAGATAAATTTTCAAGCTCATGGACTGCTCCACGGCCTACTTTGTTTTAAATTTAGCGACCGCACACTATCACTCCAGTACAAACCTATTTATCTTGACTAAATAAGAAAAAAACGGCTATTCGGCCGAGATGACTGTTTGTTAGGAGCTGGTACTTAATCTCTTTGGACTAGGAATGTAGTAAAATCGTTCTCCATTTTCATTTACTTCACCAATTCCCCGACTATGAAAACTGCGGTAGGAGGTTCTCAACTGAATAGAAAGTTCTACTTTTCGCGACTGGTAAATCCTATCTACGGATGGCGGTATATTCCATTCTTTGAATGAATTATTAAAGTCATCATCTTCCGCGGGTAGATCAAAACTATCGTCCCAATTTACCTCCCATAAAAAGAATTCTTGAAGCTTTGGTAGATATTCTGCCAGATTTTTTCCAAATTCCTCGATCCAGTCGTAATCTTCTATCACGTAAAAGTGTGAGATCTGGCTGAATTCGGCATCGAAAATTGAAGTATTATCAAAATAAAGCTGTTTAATTGCCGATTAACAAGGCTATAGGATTTGGAGATCGGAAACTGACCTTTATTGAGATAAGACTTGGCGGGAGACAGGTGTGGAGGCTTTTACGAAGTGCAGATGGTGAGAAGACTTTCGAGTTTAAGTATAATCTTTCCAACTTATTGAAATTATTCGCTCTAAAATTAGTTGGCTGATAATGAACAAACCATGCATCGGTAATCCGAATGTAGGTCAAGGTTTTCCTGACAGGGGCAAGGAATGTCAGTATGTCGAATGGCTCAGTTCGGTCGTTGTCGTCCCAGCAGAACTCCTCAAGGTTCGAAGCTGAAGCCAGAATGTAATCGATCGTCGTATCTACTTGTGAACCGACAAGATGCAGCGCCTTTAATTTGCATTTTTTAATACTTTTCGACATCTCTTGTGTTCTCGAGATTATATTTTCTTCAGGTAGAATTATTCCATAGGGACTAGTAATACAGAAGCTATGAAGTTCTGGGAGTAAAAGAAATTTATCAAGTTCTTCAAAACTAATTATTTCTTCTCTACCACATAGATCTCTCAGCTCAAACACTTGAAGTTTGCTAAGATGGCTGTTTTTCGAAATTCTAATAAACTCAAGGAGAGTAGGGAATATCACAAATTCAAGTTGTATTGCGTAGCATAATATAGATTCGATGCTCTCCAGCTGATCAGCAGACAAAGGATCATAAACGTTTATGTGCAGAAACTTTATAAACTTTGCATTTTCAGGTCGATTCTTTAAGCTTCGGGCTAATAGATTTATTTGCCCAGCTCTTATTCTGATGTGCTGGTAAAGAAAAGGAACGGCCAACATATTCAGGCGCTTGTCTGTAATTGCTAAAGCTAAGTAATTCTTAAGATTCCATTGACAACACCAACTCTCCGTGTGTTCGATAATCTTCTCTATCAATTCAGGAGGGAGTCTTAACAGTATGTTTGAAGACATAGTCCACGAGATCGCTCCCGAACGTGAAAAATAAATAAAATTTGACGTTAGAGGAGGACGACGGTTTAAAGTATGAATCGCTCTGTTGGTTCGCAGCAAGACAGTTGTTGATTTAAAAATAACCAATCAGCAGAGGTATGATAAAATACTTTGTTAACTTTATTTGAAATTTCTTTTCATGTAAAGAAGGGAAATGAATGCAAGGTTCTTATTTCACACATATAGAGAAATAAAAGTAAATTAGATTTTCTCCACCGAATTTAATTCTTTCTTTCCTATCTATCAGGCGAACTATTTTGTCGTTCGCAACTACCACCGATCTTGTGAGACTCACATTGATAGTAGTCGCCTATATGGATTACCCTTGCAATGAAATAACACAAATGAGTAGCTACTCATTTACGATAATGAATCCTCAACGAAGTATCTTTTCACGATGACTTTTAATAGGAACAATCAAGGTTTAGTATGATTCAAGGACTCAACTGAGTAAACAGCTACTTCTCATAGTAATCCTGATTATTTTTAGAAGAGATAGAATCAGTTCTTTTATAGAGCCCACTCCATAATCTTCTCTCTATCTCTTCGTACCAGACTCCAGCAGATGACAATACTAAGATTCTGCATCGTACGAAGTCGCATGTACATCGCGTGCACTATATTATTCAACGGTTAAATCTATGTAATCAGCTGGCACCAGAGCTAGCAAAGCCAAGATAATTTTCGGTACCGCAGAAGCTAGATTAGCTTCAACTTTCTTCTCTCAGACTATGATATGTCAGGGTACATGAAGTTTTTGGCTAAATGGTTTGGATTTTGAATTCATTTAACCCGATCAGGCATCCTATGGGTCCATGCAGGTGACTATCTTCATTATTTACAAAAGAGGAAACTAGTTTGGTAAAACCCTCTAATCCTGCCAGTTTAGATTGCTATTAACTTGTTTAGTTTACCTTCAGGAAGTGCAGTTTACACTATTCAACTAGTGTGGATTCCGTCGTCTCTCCTTCCAGATTGATTTATTATATCCGACATTGCTACCTCGACTTCCTCTGAAAGTCGAAACTATTTTATCTATCCGTTGCTTAGTACCAACTGTGTGTTTCTAGCCACATCTTCTAGGCTGTTAATCATGGCTTCAAATGACCTGTCTTTAGCTTGTCGGAGAAATTCGCCTCTTCCACCTGCGCATTGTGGACACGCAAACACCATGTGCTCGACATTTTGACGGATATCCACATTGAAAGCTTGGCTTTTCCTCATCGATTAATTTCCTTCTGCACAGGTAAGAATTGAGCCTGACATGCTCTCTTCTTAGCTGAATGGCGACAGTACTTTGGGCCCTGGTAAGGTTACGATTGATACTTAATGGTGTATCTCTGGAGTTCATTTTTGTACTGCCTATTTGTTCATCAGTAAATATATTTGCCACTTTCCAACGTTCTGGATCGGTTGATACGGGTCGGCTAGGGCGCTATTTCCTGTTCTGACTTGTCCATGAATCCTACCACTCCTAAAAGGCCGCTCTCTTTCCAGCTTCTTTTTGCCTCCCCTCGTCTTTTTCCCTTCAGCAAATTCTTGTCCATTCGGCGATATCTTTACTCCTGTTCCAGGCATGCAGAGTCTCTCTCCCGTTTGTGGGCAGCTTTATCCTCTTACATATCGATTGTATTATCTGTTGAACAGGAAGTTTTGCTGATAGCCCGGCGTGCTAGACCCTCCTTTATCTCAGGTATATCTTGATAGGGAGAACGGAAGATTCGTGCTCCGGCACTTTGCCGCCAGTAGAATTGTTGGCACCTGCAATAAGTATAAGCATTTTCTTTGAATACTTCTGATGGGTTTCACTGACCTTTCAGGTATCTTTCCTGTTGGCCCGGCCTGGCTAGAGATTTATTTATTTTGCTTAGAACCCGAATTCTTCAAATTAATCGAGTATATTTGTAATAGCTTTGATTGAGCTAAATTCCAAATTTAATCGCATCAATGATGATGTTCTAATATTCAATTTATTCCGGAAATATCTCTATTTTAGACATCTTCTTTTTCTCGAGAGTTTGCAGTTCTGACTATATCACATTTGCCAATAGAAAATATATTTGTCTCCAATATAAACGTAATGGTAAATTCTGGTGCAATGGGGTATTTTGATCCAAAGTGTAAAATCAGTAACAAAGTGATTCATGTTTATCTATCGATCCAACAAAGCCCCGGTACCTGATTGACAGTCACGGCTTGCGATGGGGATAGTGGAGATTGCCGTCCGCCGAGGGTAATGTATTAATATCTATCAGGATTATCGATACTAACGAAGGATACTCAGATATAATTCAACGGGCGAGGTGACAGGTGGTCAAGGGCCGGAGAACTGCAGTATAGTCGAGAGAAACGAAGTAAGGGAGTCGAGTTGCGGAGCAAACGAACAAGTCGAATAACTTAAGGTCAAAAGAAGTACGACGAGTGTAACGAATAGCGAAAGACTGAGAATATCGGACTGTAAGAATATAAGTTTATATAAATGCTAAATTGCGAGATTAAAGAATGAAAGATTGAGAAGCTGAAGAGCTACTTGTGGCAGCTCCAGATTCTTACAGTCTGGCTCGAGACAGTGCTAGAGCTCAACTAAGGCTATGGTAGATGTTATCATGATACCAGCCCCTCCATCTCTAACTATGATAGTTTTCCCGGAAACCTACTGAAAACTTTTTCCTTTCACCTTTTCCCAAGAGCCTTCTCTTTGAAAGTATAACGGCTCATGAGCCGATAACTCCTGTAGCTTTCGATGGCTATCGAAGGCTACCCACATGTTCTATCGCTCAGAAGATTATCAGCGAACTAAAATGTATACGCAATCGCCACTGGGGCTACGTAAAGGATAGTGCTAAGAGTATTGGAAGCGTTTTTTATTAATTCATTTTGTTGTCCTGACTGAATCTATGACTATGTAGGACATGCACGTCCTCTCTGCCTACAGGCCAAGGATACCTATACCAGTAGTATATCCCCTCCTATGCTTCCCATACAGCTCCCCTTAAATAGTACCGTCCCTCACAGTTTCTCATTCGATCATACACTTAGAGGAGCCCTTAACCCTTCATAATCTCCCCTCTCCAGCCAACAAAACGATGGCCAACTGCGGGTGTATGGCAGCCGGGAAAAGTCGCAAAAAACCACTGGTTGCGGAGCTCTCCTAATACCTACATTAGGACTCAATCCGAAGACATAGTGATCCTTCTGATGCGTAGAAAGAGGCCGGCAAGCTGGGCGCTGCAGACTTGTGGGTACCTCGGGAAATTCACACTCTGCCTTTCTAGCCTCCTTCCAACTCCATCCCGAAGGTCGTGCTGAAATGTCAGAAAAGTATTGGCAGAGCGTGACTGCTGTATGACAGCTTAGCCCGACTTCTTTTGTACCGTCCAGGGCGCTGGAAAGTTCCGTTGACTCATCGATAGAAGAAGTGCTCCTGGCTAATTGGCCGAAATCTTGGTCTTGGCGCCCACAAAAAATCCAAAGTTGAAAACTCCTCGAAAATATCGGTCCAAGCATGCTCTTCAAAGACCTGTTCCCCTCTCGCTCCACAGCTCAGCCGCCTGTCCTTCCTCAAGATGTTTGTCCCGTCAGAGCTACAGTCCCCCGTAAGCCAGGACACAGGCTTTGTATTTTTCGACTTGATTTCGTCCTTACGGGTGTATATAGCGTCGTAAATAATTAGTGAGAGATGGCTGGAAATTAATGGGGCAAGCTCCTGTTTGCAATTGGAGCTCGTTCTACATCGGTCGTTGAGGCGAGATGATGCGTGGCTAGAAAGAGTTTGAGGTCTAGGAAGATAATGGTGAGTGCTGCATGATTGAGAAGTCGTCAAATGGAGATATGCATGTGTTTGCTTTCGACTTCGATTCGGTTGCGATTCTTCTTGGCTGTCCCAGATATGTAGAGCAAACTGAGCGATTACACCGGCACCACTGGAAGGTGAAGAATTCGTCTTTGCCGACAGTTTTCACCGAGAGCTTACTGCCCATGCAAATATCAAGTTCGTAGATGCCTGCATGGGCTCACCAGGCGCGAAGCTAGACAAGTGAAACCAAATTCAAACGTGCCGGGCACAGATTGGTATTGATGTTCATGGGGGTTTGAATTTGATTTTATTATCCTGATTTGGTGACGTGTGGGCCCATGCAGGTGTCTTCAACCTGTAATATTTACACGGGAGAGAAGCTTTGTGGTGAAAACCGCCCACACGTTTCTGCTTGTTGTCTTAAGCTTTCACATATTTTCTTTAGGAGGCGCAGCTACACTAGATTGCCATCCACGTAAACCAACCAGATCATCTCTACCCGCCCTGAGCATTATTTGAACTTTTCCTTTCCATCAGCAGTATTTCGACCGCCTAGGTCATCTGGAATTGTTCTATCCTACCATGACTTAAGATCCACTGTGTTATCCTCTTGATGTCTTCAGGATTGTTTATCATCGCTTCGTAGGATCGATCTTTGGCTTGTCTCCAGATATCAGCTCTACCATTTGACCATCGGGGGTAGGACATAATCATATGCTTGGGGTTCTGTGATTCGTAGCCACACGGACTACCTGGACTTAATACTTATGCTACTTTTCTTTTGTATAAATATGAGTTGAGCCTCATGTGCCCATTTCGCATTTACATTGCTATTCTGATTTGGGCCCTTGTCAGGCTACGGTGTAGAAAGAATGGTGAGACTTAAAAACTCAGTTTTTGCCGTCCAGATTCTCTACTTGATAAAATTTGGCCGCTCTCCAAGTTTCGGTACCTGCAGTTGCTAACTGCCGAGGCTTCCGAGCTCGTTTCTGCTTGGCCCATGATTTCGCCCACTATTGGGATGCCACAACTTTCACCGTCTCTGTTGGTGTTAATGAATTTTTCATTGTACCACTTGGATTAAAATGCCATAGCACATTGCGCTCCTCTCTGACCCAAGCTACCTTTTGTATAGTACTCTTACCCCTGATCGTTGCACAGAAGTATCTCTAATAGAATGTCGAGGAATAGTAGCCACTGAGCCAACCAATTATCCGTAAAATGCAAGCTCATTTTCTGTCAAATATTCCACCTACAA